CACACACACACACACACACACACACACACACAGTTTCCGATCATACCTTACAGTCCCAATCTTAATTTGAGCACACAACTGAGGACTACCAGACATTTGAGGAAAGCCTCTAAAATGAGACACAGAGCTGCAACCCTCCCCCCCAAAAAACAAAAAAAAATAGTTTAGAAGAAATAAAAACTATGCAAGGAGAAAAGCATTTTTAAAAAACTGTCAGGGGTGGGGTGCTTGGGTGGCTCCATCGGTTAAGCAACCGACTCTTGACTTCGGCTCAGGTCATGAGCTCAGGGTTCTGAGATCGAGCCCTGTGTCAGGCTACACACTCAGCGGGGAGTTGGCTTGAGATTCTCTATTTCCTTCCGCCCCCCTCCCCCACTCATGTGGGTCCTGGATCTCAGGGTCCTGGAATGGAACCCCACATAGGGCTCCCTGCTCAGTGGGGAGTCTGCTTCTCCCTCTCCCTCTGCCCCTCCTCCCTGCTTGTTCTCTCTCTCTCTCTCTCAAAATACATAAAATCTTAAAAAAGAGAGCTCTTAGAAATTAAAGACATGAAATCAGAAATAAAAATTCAATAGAAGGGTTGGAAAATAAAATTAATCTCCCAGAAAGTTGAGCAAAAAATGAAGGAGATAGGAAATAAGGAAGGAAAATACAAGAAAATTAAACGTCTGGCCCATGGGATTAAACATCTCAGGGGGGCCTGGGTGGCTCAGTTGTTGAGTGTCTGCCTTCGGCTCGGGTCATGATCCCGGGGTCCTGGGATCGAGCCCTGTATTGGGCTCCCTGCTCCGTGGGACCCTCTGCCTCTGCCCCTGCTTGTGTTCCCTCTCTCACGGTCTTTCTCCCTCTCTCTGTCAAATAAATAAATAAAATCTTTAAAAAATAAATAAATAAACATCTGAAAAACAAAAGTTCCAGAAAGAAATAACAGAAATATGGAGGGGAAGAAATAGTCCAAAAAATAACAATTTATTATTTATTTTATTTTATTTTTAAAATTTGTATTCTTTTATTTTCTTTTAAGATTTTATTTATCTGAGAGAGAGAGAGCACAAGCAGGGGGAGTGGCAGGCAGGGGGAGAGGGAGAAGCAGGCTCTCTGCTGAGCAGGGAGCCCAAATCGGGGCTCTCAATCCCAGGACCCCGAGATCATGACCTAAGCCGAAGGCGATGCTTAACTGACTGAGCCACCCAGGTACCCCCAAAAATAAGAATTGAAAAAAATGTTTTTCTAGGGGCACCTGGGTGGCTCAGTCATTGAGCGTCTGCCTTCAGCTCAGGTCATGATCCTGGAGTCCTGGGATCGAGCCCCGCATCGGGCTCCGTGCTCCGCGGCAAGCCTGCTTGTCCCTCTCCCACTCCCCCTGCTGTGTTCCCTCTCTCACTGTGTCTCTGTCAAATACATAAATAAAATCTTTAAAAAAAAATTTAAAAATGTTTTCCTAGAACTGAAGAAGATGAACTTCTAGGTTGCTAAGACCCACTGGGTTCCCACTAAAACTTTCCATGTAAGATTTCAGAAGCCTAGGACAAAGAGAAGATCCTAAAAGTTGTGGTTGGGCAAAGAGAGAAGGAAAATGAAAATAGGCTTCATACACACTTTATTTTCCAGAATAAGAAAAATTTCAGGCTTCTTAACAGCAACACCAGAAGCTTGAAGACAATGGAGAAATGCCCTCAGAATTCTTAGCGCAAATTATTTCCAACCTAGTATTTGATACCCAACCACAATGTCAGTTGAGCGTTAAGAGTAGAACAAAGACATTTTCAGTCTTACACGGTCCCAACACTTTTTTTTAAAGTTTTTAAAAAAATATTTTATTTATTTATTTGACACAGAGAGAGAGACATCGAGAGAGGGAACACAAGCAGGGGCAGAGAGAGAGGGAGAAGCAGGCTTCCTGCTGAGCAGGGAGCCTGATGCGGGGCTCGATCCCAGGACCCTGGGATCATGATCTGAGCCGAAGGCAGATGCTTAACGACTGAGCCACCCAGGCGCCCCTAAAGTTTTTATTTAAGTAATCTCTACACCCAATGTGGGGCTTGAACTCACAACCCCAATACCCTGAGATCAAGGGTCACATGACTTTCCACTGAGCCAGCCGGGTGCCCCGAGGTCCCAACAAAATTATCTCCCAAGTACTCTTTCTTAAGAAGCTCCAATCAAAATAAACGGAAAAAGATAAAGAGATAGGTTGGAGATAGGTTGCAGGAAACAGATCAATCCAAGAGAGGCAAAGGGAATCCCAAGATGGGTGTGGAGAGAGACCCAGCAATGCGGTCTGGAAGACCAGCCTCTCCGTGCTGGAGTCGGTCTAAAGGCTCTGCGAGAAAATTCTCAAATAGAAGAGATAAAATTCCTTACGTGTTTGTATATCCTTAGAACACATTAACACAACTAAAGAAGAATTTTGGAATAAATTAGAGTACACAGAAAACGAAGCAAACAAACATAAAGAACAAAGCAAGTATTAATTTCAGAAAAAACATAAATGGTAACAAAAGCTTAACTATCCACATGGGGGACACCTGGGGGGCTCAGTCAGTTAAGTGGCTGCCTTCAGCCCGGGTCATGATCCCAGGGTCCTGGGATCGAATCCCACATCGGGCTCCCTGCTCGGCGGGGAGCCTGCTTCTCCCTCTTTCTCCCTCTGCTTGTGCTCTCTCTGTCAAATAAATAAATAAATAAAGTCTTAAAAAAAAAAAGAAGTAGGAACATTTGCATTTTATTTTTAGTTTGAGATATACAAATGAATCTAAGACAAAACATAGTAACGCAATTTAAACACTCAATTGAAAGTGATTGTCTGAAAAACTGAGGGAGTTGGGAAAGCTACTATTTTTTCTATCAGCCTTATAGAAGTATTTGTTTATATAAAATAATGTATATCTATGATAAAAAAGTACTGATAACCTCAGGGAAGGGGGCAGCTACAGGAGGAGGTCAGTTAAGAGACGATGGCAGGGGGCGCCTGGGTGGCTCAGTCGTTAAGCGTCTGCCTTCGGCTCAGGTCTTGATCCTGGAGTCCGGGGATCGAGTCCGGGGATCGAGTCCGGGGATCGAGTCCGGGGATCGAGTCCCGCATCATCGGGCTCCCTGCTCAGCAGGGAGTCTGCTTCTCCCTCTGACCCTCCCCCCTCTCATGTTCTCTCTCTCTATCTCATTCTCTCTCTCAAATAAATCAATAAATCTTAAAAAAAAATGATACGTTAAAAAAATAATAAACATTTTGGGGCACCTGGGTGGCTCAGTCGTTAAGCGTCTGCCTTCGGCTCAGGTCATGATCCCAGGGTCCTGGGATCGAGTCCCACATCGGGCTCCCTGCTCGGCGGGAAGCCTGCTTCTCCCTCTCCCACTCCCCCTGCTTGTGTTCCTGCTCTCGCTATCTCTCTCTCTGTCAAATAAATAAATAAAATCTTAAAAAAAAAAAAGAACTTCATTCCTCTTTAAAAAAAAAAAATAATAAACATTTTATTTATTTAAGAGAAAGAGCTCGAGTTGGGGGGAGGGCCGAGGGAGAATCTCAAGCAGACTCCTTGCTGAGTGCGGAGCCCGACTCGGGGCTTGATCCCAGGACCCTGAGATCATGACCTGAGCCAAAACCAAGAGTCAGATGCTTAACTGACTGAGCCACCCAGGTGTCCTTCCATGTTCCCTTTAAAAAGCCCTCCCCCTCAGTGCCCTCCCCTTTGTTCTTGCTGCCAAGGCCAGAATCCAGGCCCTTATCACCTCATACTGATCACACCCAACATCTGATAGAAACACCTCGTAGGAGGCTAATGAGGTGATGAGTGGGCAGGAGCCCAAGGCGAGGCTGTGTCTGAGAACGGAGTGATGCTGGAGTGCAGACATCCCGTGAAAATTGGCCAATACAGGGGCCAAGTCAAGAGAATAATGTGAAAATCATAAACTCCGAAAATCAAAGGCAAAACAAGATGGGGCAAGATAAAATTTGGCAGTATTGCTTCCTAGTTTATGCCCTTTTCTTCTGCATGAAGTTTTAAAGTTTAAAGTATTCTATTCTAGGGGCACCTGGGTGGCTCAGTCATTACGCGGCTACCTTCGGCTCGGGTCCTGGGATCGAGCCCCGCATCGGGCTCCCTGCTCGGCAGGAGGCCTGCTTCTCCCTCTCCCACTCCCCCTGCTTGTGTTCCCTCTCTCGCTGTCTCTCCCTGTCAAATAAATAAATAAACTATTAAAAAAGTAAAGTATTATATATATTTTTTGAAGATGTGATACATGGGCATGGGGCAAAATTCAGAAAATTCGAAGTGGTGAGTGGGAAAAGCTGTCCCCTGACCCCTCAGATCCTCTCCTCAGAGGTGACTACATTCTCTCTGCTTGTTTGTGTGTCTTTCCAGAAATAATGCATTCTGATGCAATTTAAGGTTAAAAAAAGCATCACTAGATAAACTGATCATACTTAAAAGATATAAACCCTGGGGTGCCTGGGTGGCTCAGATGATAAAGCCTCTAACTCTTGATTTCTGCTCAGGTCATGATCTCAGGGTCCTGGGATTGAGCCCTGAGTCAGATTCCCTGCTTAGCTCAGAGTCAGATTGAGGATTCTCTCCCACCCTGTCCCTCTGCCCTCCCCCAGCTCACAAGCACTTGCTTTCTCTCTCTCAAATAAATCTTAAATATATATACATATATATATACACACACACATATAAATCCCTGTCAGATTGAGATGAGCCAAGGCCATGAGACCGGATTTTTCTGGCTCCCAGCTGTGGAAGGGGATGACCAGCTTCATTATCTCTTGATGAAGATTGTCCTAAAGGCCCTTTTGCTCTAAATTGGTTTTAAGGGCCCCAAACTGGCACGACTCAGGAAGGGTTGAGCCCCTGATGTGTTCTGTTCGGCCGAATCTTTTTTTTTTTAGTTTGAATTTTAAGATGGATCTTCAATTCTCTACATTTCCATAGAAGTCTAGAGATCCTGTTTCTTACAATGTACACATTTATATTACCTGCCTACTCCCTTTCAGTGTCTAAATTATGGCCATTTAACCAATGGTTCATCAACAAAAGAAATAATATGCCACCATCAAAAGTGATGACAGATGCATGTTTAATAGCATAGGAACATAGATGTTTCTGATACATTGTTTTTTTGTTTTGTTTTTAAGATTGTATGTATTTATTTGACAGAGAGAGAGAGAGCAAGAGCAGGAACACAAGCAGGGGGAGCAGCAGAGGGAGAGGGAGAAGCAGGCTTCCCGCAGAGCAGGGAGCCCGATGCGGGGCTCGATCCCAGGACCCTGGGACCATGACCTGAACTGAAGGTAGACGTTTAACGACTGAGCCACCCAGGCGCCCTATGTTGTTAAAAAGTATATGATCCCGGGGCACCTGGCTGACTCAGTCAGTAGAGCATACGTCCTTGATCTCGGGGTCATGAGTTTGAGCCCTACGTTGGGTGTAGAGCTCACTAAAAGAAAAAGAAAGGTACATGATTCCACCCCTACCCACTTAACAAATTATGTGTATATATGGACGCTGAAAAAAATCTGCAGGATTGATACCAAAGAGTTAACAACAGTTAGTAGGTAAGGCTTTGGAGTCTATTTTTATTTTATATGTATATTCCAATTTTCCTACAAGAAACCCACAGTACCTGTGTAATAAGAGTATTATGAAAGTGGGACAGGAGCTTGTCTCCCTCCTTCTCTCCATGGGTCCTAGAGGTCTGTTTGGCTTTGCCGAACTGAAAATAAGGACTTTGTGACTTTTGAAAAAGAAAAAGCACGGGTGAGCTGATTTTTTTTTTTTTTTTTTTGGAACTTGAGGCAAGTGTTCCTTCCCTACACCTCCAAAACACCACCAGCAGGTGGCAGTCTGCTCCACGTGTTGAGCCAGTGGGCTGGATTCAGCCTGGGGTCCTGCACCTTGCAGTCCAGACACTGGAGGCCTTTGTCTGGGTCCCAAAATGGGACCAACAAGCCTGATGTGCCAAACTGGCCCCTTGCTCTTCTTTTCTCTGTATTCCACAGGTCAGAGCCAACACTCTGGCCCCCTGAGGGTGCACGTCGTCTTGGGCCCACCTTTACTCCCTGAAGCAGCATCCCCCTCCCCCCACCACACCAGGAGACTAGAACATTCCAGAAGGGTCTCAGGGTGGCTGAAGCTTATCGAGTCACGCACTTACAGTAATTCCCTTTTATTTCTCACCCTCAACAAGGAGGTGGAAAGGCCTCTGCCCGGATACTGCTCTGCCCCTAATTTGGGTATAGTCACTCTCAACCTCTCCTCCTTCAGGGAGGCCTGTGCCAGTGGACAAGAGTCTCTGCGGAGTGCTTGAGCTGGTGGGGAAGGAGAAGGTCGACCCCGGAGATCCCTAAGGAATGGCCTCACTTTTCCGCCAACTTCCTCATGGCCTCTCCTTCGAAGCGAAAGGCATGCCAGCCCTCGGTTTCAGTCAGATCCCGGGCTCCCAGGGCCTTGTACAGGGTCATGGCCCTCTGGTTCCAGTCCAGGACTGCGAGGCGGAACTGGGAACAGCCCTGATCCAGGGCCACCTGTGGGAGAAGACATCGCTGACTTTTCCTTCCAAAAAGGAAAAGGCATTCTCACCCTGCATTTGACCGGCGTGCCTCCCCTACGCGCTTGCTTTTCCAGGGCCTAACTCCTGGCCCCAACCCTCTCCTCACCTGAGCCACTTTTTTTATTATTTTCGAGCCAATCCCCTGACCTGTTGTGGGGAAAAACAGAGAAAACAAAAAGGGGGCGGGGGGAGGGGTTATTTCCGTTGAAGGGACTCAGAAGAGGACATAAGGCTGGGGTTAGGGGGCAGGGGCTGGAGGTTGGGTCTGGGTGGCTTTCCTCCCGCCGTGGCCCCGGCCCAGTACCCCGATATTCCGGCGTCACATAGATGTCTTCCAGATAAACGTTGCGCCCCTTCCACGTGCTGTAGATGAAGTAATACAGCCCATAACCCACCACACGGGGCCCTGAGATGGAGACAGAAGAGGGCACTGGGCGCCTGGGAGGGACCTCCGAGAGCTCCGGGACCGGGACCCTCCGAGGCCCTGCTGGTCTTACCCTGCGGCTTCCCGGGGGCGGGAAGAAGCTCTGCCACCAAACAGTGATAGAAAGGGTTCCCTCCGAAGCCATCTGCTCTCAGGGCTGCGGAGATGGGGATTGTGGCAAAGAGACAGAGAAAGGGCCTGGGTGTGCACCCGCCCGGCCTGGAGCTAGGGCCTTAGGGACCCATCCCTCCCCCCGCCCCCCCACCCCCCGCCGCCGCCCGGGCCAGGACGCGGGTGCTGGGCCCCCACCTTCTTCACTGATCTGCACCTGCTCCGAGAGTTTCTCGTACTCTGCCAGTTCCTACGGCAGCGGGGGACAGAGGCCGGATCAGGGCAGGGGACCCCTCCCGAGGCGGCCCCGACTCCCCGCCCAACCCCCTTCCCACGGCCGCGCCGCCCGCACCCCCTCGGGGGGACCCCGGTTCCTGGCCCGCAGGCGTCACCCGAATCAGCCTCAGGATATGTCCACAGTCTCCTTCCTCGGCCTCTCGGATCCGCACGGAAGCCATCTCGATCCCCGCCGTCTGGGACTGAAGTCCGGGCCCCTCCCCTCCCGTCCTGCAGGCAGGGGCCCTGCGAAAGGGCCTACGCACCGGGCCGGGACAGCCTGGGGGCGCCGCAGGCTGGGACCCGGGGGACTGGTGGGCGTGCGGGGGGTGCTCTCGGCGCCTCACCCCTGCACCCGCCGCGAGCCGGGGGAGTGCTCAGCGCCGGGGGCGCCGGGGGATCCTCTCGGCGCCGCACTCCTACAGCGACCCGTGGCCCTGGGAGTGCTCAGCACCTGGGGCGGCTGGGGGGGGGGGGATCCTCTCTCGGCGCCGCACCCCTGCACCCTCCCGGGACGCGTCCCGCCAGCCAATCAGCTGGCAGAACAAGCACGCCCGGAGGCCCTAGCCCTGCCCCCCACCGTCAGCCCCGTGACTGGGCCCCCGGGCAGGGGTCAAGGCTGGACTGCCCGCTCCCTCGCTGTTGTCGCCCGGGTGTCCCAGCCTCTGTGGGTGAAACCCCGCAGTTCAAAAGTCACCTCCCCTGGCCTTCCCCAAGTGAAGTGTGCAGTGATTTTCTGCTGTACTCTTCACTCTCGCTCACCCATCCAAGGGCCCCCGCGACCCTGCGTGAGTCCTAAGTCCCCCAGCTCCGAGAGTTGTCTCCTAGGGTGTCTCGAGTAGCTCCAGGTGTCCTTTCTCTCGGCGCCCTGGGATTTCAAAACGGGTCAGGGAGAGGGTGATGCATTTCTATTGGTAGATGGTGAAATCCCGAAATAAATGGAGAAGAGGAGATAATTCGGAGTGGGGGACGGGTCTTTTCTTAGAAGCCACTAAATCACACTCAGGGACAGAACCTCCCTCTAAGGCCAGCCTCAGAGGCCTGGGAAAACACTGAGGGAGGAGCTCAGAGCCAATACCAGGCACGGTGCCTGCTTATCTCAATGAGTCCTCCCTACAGCAACCCCATAAAGTAGGTACTATTTTTCACATTTTATGAACAAGGACACTAACAAGCACCATGAGTGGAATGACTTGACCAGACTCACCCAGCTGGATATTTAGTATGGCGGGTCTCAGCTGTAGTTCCTTTTTTTTTTTTTTTTTTTTTTAGGATTTATTTATTTATTTGGGAGAGGGAGCATGAGAGGGGTGGAGGAGCAGAGGGAGAGCGAGAAGCAGGCTCCCCACTGAGCAGGTGGGGCTCGATCCCAGGACCCCCGGGATCATGACCTGAGTCCAAGGCAGATGCTTAACCGACAGAGCCACCCAGGTGCCCCTCAGCTGTAGTTCTGACAGAGGATGCTCCTTGGGGTGCAGGGCAGGACTGTTCCTGGACCTCAGGCCCGCAGAGGCAGCCTCCCCTGGTGGGCAGAAGGCTTCAAGGACCCAGGTCAGGCTCTAGAGGAGGAGCGGGGAAGTGGGGCATCCTGTCTGAGCTGATACACTTTCCCAGCAGGGGGAGTGTAGTGGAGGAACTCTGTCCCTCCCCCGGAGTTGTCCTCAGAGGGGTCAGAGGGGCCAGAGGGTCAGTGCCCGGTCTCCTGCCCCCCTTCTTCCCCCCGGGGCAACCTTTAACCCAACACCAACTACAGAAAGGCTGCCTGCCCCCACACATTCTCCCCAGAGCTCTCTGAGCCGCAGAGAGGACTGCAGCTGACCATGGAGGGCAGAGGCCCGCTGGTCACATCGCCACGATGGCTGTCACTGCTGTTGTTACTGCTTCCACCTCCCAGCGACCAGGGACAGGCCCCGAGACATGCTGTCTCCACCCAGGTGCGGCTGTCGGGGTGGGGTGCTCAGCCCACGTGCGGGACTAAGTGAGCTGCACTTGGCTCAGCTTCTGCCTTGTTCCCCCCGCCCCACCTCTCCGTCCATCCTCATCCATCCTCGCGCTACCTTGTTTGTTTTCTCTCGTGGACAGAGGGTCCAGGACCCCCCTGCTGTGCACCTCAGCAATGGCTCAGGACGAGAGCCCATCAGCGTCATGACTTTTGACTTCACCAAGATCAGGAAGTATGAGGTTGACCTAGCCCCTTGACGGAGTCCCCGATCCTACCTTCCCTCCCTCGGATCTTCTCCCAGTCCTTCAGCCTCCCCTACCCCACTTTTACCCCCAGAGGGCATGCCCCATACACAGTCTTTCCTTCTCTGTCCTTCCAGAAGCTCTTCCTCCTTTGAGCTTCGAACCTGGGATTCAGAGGGAGTGATTTTTTATGGCGATACCAACCCAAAGGATGACTGGTTTGTGCTAGGACTTCGAGATGGCAGGTCTGAGATCCAGCTGCACAATCAGCTGGCCCAGCTTACAGTGGGCGCGGGGCCCCGGCTGGACGATGGCAGGTGGCACCAGGTAAACCAGATCCGGTCCCGAGGGGAGGGGTGTCCCGAGCTAGTCCACAGAAGGGGAACAGAAAGGAGTTTTCAGGCATCCCTTTCCCACTGTCACCTTATTCAATCTGCACAAAACCTCCATGGAGTTGCTATGCTTGTCCCCGGTTTTCCGGATGGGATTTCTGAGGCTCACGGCCCGACTGAGCCAAGGATGCTAGCTGACTCCACGAGTCCATGTTCTTTCTGCTATACTTGGCTGCTTCTGAAGAAGAAAGTGGTGGAGGCAGGCCCCAGGGGTTCTGAGTGGGCTCCGCTCCTTCCTCCCTGCAGGTGGAAGTGAAGATCCTTGATGATTCGCTGCTACTGAGTGTGGACAGGGAGGAGGTGCTGCGCCTGAGACAGGTCTCTGGGCCCCTGGCCAGCAAACCCCAGCCCATCGTCAGAATTGCACTGGGGGGACTCCTGTTCCCAGTCTCCAGCCTCCATTTGCCGGTAACTGCATCACAGGGCTGGGGACCAACCAAAGCTGTTGAAGTGTGGCTGGCTGGGGGACGGTGGGGGTCCAAGGCCACACTTTGAGCGAGCGAGAGAGAGAGAGAGAGAGAGAGAGAGAGAGAGAGAGCGCGCGCTACGTGGGAGAGGCCAAGTGCTTGTGACTCACAGCGGAGTAAACTGAGGGTGGGGAGGGCTCTGATGTCTTGAAGGCCACATCCCCGTGTCTTCCCTTCCCTCCACCGGCTCCAGCTGGTCCCTGCCTTGGATGGCTGCCTGCGCCGGGGTAACTGGCTGGACCCACAGGCCCAGACCTCGGGATCTGCTCCTAGTAGCAGCCTCAGAAGCTGCGCCGTCGAATCCCAACCTGGGACGTTCTTCCCGCCAGGGACTCATGCAGAATTCAATCTCCAAGGTAAAGGCTGTTTTTCCCTGCTCGGCCAGCTCTGTGTCTGCCTTCCTCTTCTCCCTCGCAGCACTGGCTGCCTCCCTCCCTGAGTCCCCAGCCTTGAGTCCTCAGAGGGATCACTTCTCCCCCCTCCCCAGACATTCCCCAGCCTCATGCCGAGCCCTGGGCCTTTTCTCTGGACCTGGGACTCCAGCTGGCAGCAGGCTCCGGCCACCTCCTTGCCCTTGGGACCCCAGAAAACCCTTCTAGGCTCAGCCTCCACCTCCAAGATCAAGTAAGAGTGGGCGCTGCCTGTATTCAGTGGAGCCTGGGAGCAGGGGGGGCCTCCAAGTTGTCAATGTTAGGAAAGCTTAAGGTGGGGGGGGGTGGGCAGAGACACATCCTGAAGTTGCCTACAGCAAGCAAATGATATTTTATTTATTTATTTATTTATTAGATTTTATTTTTTAAAGATTTTTATTTATTTATTTGAGAGAGAGAGAATGAGAGATAGCACGAGAGGGAAGAGGGTCAGAGGGAGAAGCAGACTCCCTGCTGAGCAGGGAACCCGATGCGGGACTCGATCCCGGGACTCCACGATCATGACCTGAGCCGAAGGCAGTCGCTCAACCAACTGAGCCACCCAGGCGCCCTGATTAGATTTTATTTTTAAGGACTCTACACCCAACATGGGGCTCCAACTCACAACCCCGAGATCGAGTCGCATGCTCTATGAAGTCAGCCAGCCAGGCACCCCTATAAATGGCTTTTATCTAGATTGTATTGACTGGGGAGAGGTGTGGTTTTATGGACTATCAAGCCAGGGAAATCGAGGCAGCATTTAGGTGATTGAAATGGTCGGCAGACAGAAGGTAGAGCACAGAGGCCTCACTGAGGCAGAAAGGGATGGGGCCCCAGGGAGTTGATGCGGTTCATTCTTTCCATGCGCACCCCCTCAATCCCTTTTCTGCACACTCTGCAGAAGGTGGTGCTGTCCTCTGGGTTGGGACCAGAGCTGGATCTGCCCCTGGTCTTGGGACTCCCTCTTCAGCTGAAGCTGGCTGCATCCGGGGTGGTCTTGAGCCAGGGGTCTAAGAAGGAGATCCTTGCTTTACCTGCCTTGGACTTGGACCTTGCCTCCCTCCTCAAGCTCTGGGTCCAGCCGCAGGGGCGCCTCTTCCTGGGGGCTCTGCCAGGTAAGACAGGGACTTTCGTGTTCCTCAGCACACCACTGGAAACAGCTAGAGGGAAAGGAAAAGACAGGCAAGCGTGTGGTTTTAGGGGAAGGAAACTTCTGGAAAGGGAGAAGAGAGGCCACAAGAAGAGAAGGGATAAAGGGCAGTGGGAGAAAGTGCTTTAAAAAAAACTTGAGGCAGTGAGCTGGGAAAGTGGGGGGCAGCCTGTGGGTCCAAGCTGCCCTAAGGCCCCCTCCGTGCCCCCTCCCTCTAGGAGAGGCCTCTTCGGCCTCCTTTTGCTTGGATGGCCTTTGGGCACAAGGCCAGAAGCTGGACATGGACCGGGCCCTGAGCAGAAGTCAGGACATCTGGACTCACAGCTGTCCCCAGGGCCCAAACAATAGCCCTGGCACCACCCATTAAATCCCCACCTAAGAATCTCCTTGAATGTCGCTCATTCATTTATTCAACAAGTATTCACTGGGCGTCTGCAATGTACCAGGCGCCCTGCTGAGCAGTGGGTTGTCCTGATGAGTACAAGCCACCCAGGTTCCTGGCCTCTGAGCGCTCACGGTTCCCCCGGGGGAGGCAGGCATCCAGCAAAGACCCACAAGTAAGTGGATGATTGGAAACCCAATAAGCGCCATAA